TACACACACATATGTATAACAAAGTGAAAGTCACTCCGTCATGTCCGACTCTTTGCAACCCCATGGACTATACAGTCCATGGAATTCTCCAAGCCAAAATACTGGAGTGGGTAGCCTTCCCCTTCTCCAGGGGATCTTCCCAACCCAGGGATCGAACCCAGGTCTCCCATATTGTAGGCAGATTCTTTACCAGCTGAGCCACAAGGGAAGCCCACGTATAACTGAGTCGCTTTGCTATACAGCAGAAATTAACATTACACTGTAAATCAATTATACTTCAATAAAATATTTTTTAAAGAACTTTTTAAAAAGCCAATGTAGGAACTTCCCTGTGGTCCAGTGGTTAAACCTCTATGCTTCCATGCAGGACAGAGGGCAAGTTCAACCCCTGGTCGAAAAACTAAGATCCCACATGCCATGTAGTGCAGCCAATAAGTTAACAAAATAAAATTAGTTTATTTTTTTTTTAAAGTGTACACTAAACAAAAAATCATCTGGATGAGATACATCTAAGTGAGAGAAAGATTTATATATTCTCTTACATGGGCCTTAAAAAGCCAGTGATCCAAGAGGGAGGAGACATAGGTACATGGTTAATTCATGTTGATGTATGACAGAAATCAAACCAATATTGTAAACCAATCATCAATCAATTAAAAATAATTTTTTTTTTTAAAGCCCATGATCTTTGTAGGTTTGTGAAATGATTTCCAATTCCATGAATATTTTCCCTTCTCTCCCTTGAGCACCATCCCCGGCATTCTTTAAAATCAACCTAAAAACTCACCTTCTCTGAAAGTTTATTTCCATGACATTTAGGGATACTTATTTTTACAGCTTATGTTCATTTGTACATGATATTTGGAAAAGTCTACTGTGATAGAAAGAACATGGATCTGGGTCAGTCTGCAAGCTTGTGTTCCAGTTTCAAGGTCTGTAAATCAGCTCATGTCTTCAAGCCTCAGTTTTCTTATCTGTAAAATATGGGCATGAGACTAAATGGTCTTCCAAATGCATGAACTGTTAAAAGTTCTTCAGCTGTTGGGTATTTGTCTCTTCCACTCATCCAACTGGGTCACAAATCCCCGTAGAAGAGAAGAGTATATCTTCTCCATCTTCTGTACTTCCATCCCCACCCCAGGCTGCCTGGCACTCTGCATTGCCCCCAGTGGATATCCTGTCAATGCTGATTGCCAGACCAGCTCACAGCGCCTGTGGTGGCCAGGAGGTGGCACTTTGGTATTTTCTGCAGTCAGAGAACAAACCCCAGAGTGAGAGGTCACTCAGGTACCTGCTTTATTTGAGCAAAGTAGATCTAGTGAGCAAAACAACCAAGGAGCTATATCTCCTAAATTTGCATATAATGAATAAAGTTTGGTAGTGGTGATGGTATACAGGTCTATGGGTCTTCATACATGCATAGATTTCTGGCATGCCACCACAATGAAGATGCACAGTCATCCCATTGCCCCCCAAAACTCCTTGTGCCAGACTCCACCTGATTCCAAACCCTGACAGATCTGTTCCAGAATATCTCGTAAATGGAGTCATACAGTAATGTAACCTTTGAGACTGGCTGCTTTCTCTTCTCTCAGCAGATGCCTTTGAAAGCAAGCCCTGGTGTTGCATATTCATGATTTGTACTATTAGCTCATTCCTTTTTATTGCTGAATAGCATTCCATCATGTAGATATATCACAGTGTATTTATTCACCTGTTGATGGATATTCTGGTTGTTTCCAGTTGGGGGCACTTATGGATACAACTGCTTTAAACACTCATGACTGAGACCAGGTGACTCAGTAGGTAAATAATCTTCCTGCAGTGCAGGAGATGCAGGCAGAGCGGGTTTGATCCCTGGGTTGGGAAGATCCCCTGGAGGAGGGCATGGCAACCCACTCCAGTGTTCTTGCCTGGAGAATCCCATGCACAGAGGAGCCTGGCAGGCTGTAGTCCATAGCGTGGCACAGAGTTGAACACAACTGAAGCAACTGAGCACGCACACATGCAAACACGCGTGTGTAAGTTTTTTGTGAACATAAATTGTGCTTTTTTTTTTGGCTGCACTGGGTCTTCGTTGCTTTTTGTGCAGGCTTTCTCTAGTTGCAGTGAGCAGGGGTTACTCTCGCTTGCCGTAGGAGGGCTTCTCATTGCAGTGGCTTCTCGTTGTGAAGCACGGGCTTTAGGCACATGGGCTCAGTAGGTGTGGCTCGTGAGCTCAGGTATTGTAGCACACAGGCTTAGCTGCTCCGCGGCATGTGGGATCTCCCTGAACCAAGGATCGAACCCATGTCCCTTGTATTGGTAGGCAGATTCTTATCCACTGTGCCACCAAGGAAGTCTGAACATAAGTTTTTATTTCTCTGGGATAAATGCCTGGGACTGAGATTTCTAGATCATGTGGTAATTCTGTGCCAGTCTGTTTTCCCACTGGCTGTACCGTTTTACATTCGTCCCAACAATGTGTGAGAGTTCCTCTGATTGTTCTACAGCCTCACCAGCATTTAGTCTTATCACTTTTGTTGTTCATCTTCCTCTTTGTTTTGTTTTGATTTTGGCCATTCTGATAGGCTTGTAGTGATATCTTGTTGTAGTTTAATTTCCATCTCCCTAATGGCTAACAATGTTGACCATCTCTGCATGGACTTATTTGCCACCCATAGGTCCTCTTTGGTGAAGTGACTACAGATCTCTTGCTCATTTTAAGTTGGTTTGTTTGCTCTCTTATTGTTGAATTTTAAGAGTTCTTTCTTCTGGACATAGGTCCTTTATCAGATATGTCTCTGCAAATATTTTTCCCCAGTCTGTATGCTATCTTTTCATTCTATCAGTGTCTTTTTCAGAGAAGAGTTCTAAATTTTATACATTTTTTTTCTTTGTTGGGTTGTGCTTTTGGTGTCTAAGAAATCTTTGCCTAGTCCAAGGTCACAGATTTTCTCCTGTGCTTTCTTCTATAAGTTTTATGGTTTTACATTTAGATCTATGACCCATTTTGAATTACTTTTTCATAAAGTGTGAGATTTAGGTCAATGTTTATTTCTTTTGGCATGTGGGTGTTCAAATCCCAAGAAATGCTGAGTTACCCAAATGCTCAAATGATCCTTTCTCCATTGAACTGCTTTTGCATTTTTGTGAAAAATCAATCAGTCGTATTTATGTGAGATTATATCTGATTCTCCATTCTGTTCCCACTGATCTACATTTTTATTCCTTTGACAATCTTCTTGACAATTACCTTTCTTGATTACTCTTACTTTGTGGTAAGAAAATCAGCTACTGTAAGTCCTTTTTTTTATTTTCAAATTGCTTTTGCTGTTCTAGTTTCTTTGCCTTTCCATCTATATTTTAGAATCAGCTTGTTGATATCTATCAAAAATTCTGCTGGAATTTTGGTCAGAATTGCATTAAATCTACAGATTGACTTGAGGAAAATTGATAGTATTCAACCATATTGAGTTTTTCAACCTATAAACACATTATTTCCCTCCACGTTTTTAGATTTTCTTTTATTCCTGTCATCAGCATTTTTGTTTGACTTCTTTCATCAACCTTTCGTAGTTCTCAGCTTACAGATCCTACACACATTTTGTTAGATTTATGTCTAAGTATTTTTGGTTTGGGAGTTGTGGATGGTTTTGGTTTTAAATTTCTGTTTCCAGTTTTTCATTGCTGGCATATAGAAATATTTTTATCTGTTGCCCTTGTATTTGTGACCTTGCCAAACCCACATATTAGTTCTAAGAGCTATTTTGTAAATTCCTTGGGACTTTCTACATAGACGATCATATCATCTGAAAATAAAGTCATTTGTTTCTTCCATTTTAATTTATATGCCATTTAACTTGTTTAAACCTGCCTTGATGCACTGGCTGGGGCTTCCAGTATGAAAGTGCCCAGCAGCAGTAAAAGCAGAAATCCTTACACTGCTCCTGATCTTTGGGAAAAGCATTCAGTCTTGCACCACTTAGTATGATGTTCGCTGTGGCATTTTGGTAGATGGCATTTTTCAGGTTGAATTCTCTTCTAATCCTTTTTGCTGAGAGATTTATTTCATGAATGGATGTTGAATTTTGTCAAATGCTTTTTCTGCGTCAGTTGATATAATCATGTGGCTTTCTTTTTTATTCTGTTGCTATGATGGATTACATTGATTGATTTTTTTAATACAAAACCAGCTATGCATTTCTTAGATTAACTCCACTTGGTCATGATGTGACATTGTTCTTATGTAGTTTGGGATTTGATTTGCTGATATTTTGTTGGCCAGTCTAATTAAATCCATGTTCATGAAGGATATTGGATACTGGTTTTTAGTTTTCTTTTCTTGTATTGCTTTTGTCAATTTTTGGTTTCAGGACAATGCTCATAAAATGAGTTATAAAGTGTTCCTTTCTTTCCATTTTCTAGAAGAGACATGGAGAATAGATGTTATTTCTTCTTTAAATATTTGGTAGAGTTTACCAGTGCAATCATCTGAGCCTGGAGTTTTCTTTTTTGAAAGGTTTTTAACTACAAATTTAATTTCTGCAATAGATAAAGTAAGCTTCAGGTTATCTATTTCTTCTTGGGTGAGTTTTGGTAGTTTGTGGCTTGCAAGGAATGGTTTGGTTCTGTCTAAGTTGTTGAATTTTATGCATTAAGTTGTTGCAGATATTCCTTTTTTATCCTTTTAATGTCTGTGGTCTGTAGTAATAGCCCCTCTTCCATTCCTGATATGGTTCATTAGGTCTTCTCTCTTTTATTCTTTCAAATTAGAGATTTAACAATTTCACCTATCTCTTGAAAGAACCAAGTCTTTGTTTCATTGATTTTACACTATTGTTTTTCTACTTTTAATTTCATTAATTTTTGTTCTTTATTATTTCTTTCCATCTGCTTGTTTCATAAAACTTGGTAAAGATTAATGTCACCAGTATTACTGAGTAAAACCATTATAAACTGTTTAAATTCCTTATTTTGAGAACCATCCTAACAGTTTTCCATGCTTTATTTCTTTGCAGTTGACCGGTCTAAGCGTCTCCAATGGAAAGGACCAACTTGTAGTGTTCCATACAAAAGACAACAAAGACTTAATTGTCTGCCTCTTCAGCAAACAGCCAACCCACGAGAGTCGAATTGGAGAACTGGTTGGAGTCCTGGTGAATCATTTCAAGAGGTAAAGTTTGGTTTTTGCTTAACGAAGGCAAGTTTAAAATAGATGAAATCTTTCATCATAATTCTCACTGAACTTGTTTCATGCCAATTTTAGCATATTGAGTTATTTTCCTTCTTAAGGACAACTTAAATCATCTGTTTCGCAGAAGGCGAAATTAGCATCCCGGCTTAGTTTCAAGATTAGGAATGATCCTCTGCTTTTCCAGCCTCCAGCTGAACCAACAGTGAGAGATTTCCCCAATGGCGATTTCTTCACTGCCAATCCAAACGTAATTAAATCCAAAAGACAGAAAACTTACTTTACATTCTTAGTATCACAGCTTCTCATTTATCCTGAGTATAATCAATTCAAGTATCTGCTATGAATATAAACAAATTAGAAGGCAGGTGTAGGATGACATGTGGGTCCACAAAGACTAAAGGAATTCTAAGAAGCAATTACCTCTGCAAAAACATGGAGTCATGAGGGAATGTGGTATTGTCAGAGAACTTCATAGTAAACCTAGATGATGCCTAGTGTGATTGTGTATGTCTATGTAGTGGACAGTGATGTAAGAAAGAAAAACGGGGAACAGATCCTGATGGTGATGGTGTTCAGTGAGTGGATAACTCTAAGTAGAGGATTTTTGGCTTGTTATTTATTGGAGTTGTTTTAGAGATGGAGTTTTTTCTCTAAACAAAGGCATATTTAGTGTCTGATGTTCACACATGTAATTCTACAGTGTTCCTTTTTGCTGATAAATGCATGGAGAATAATTTTAGAAGTGAGCTGTGGAGGTCATTTATTTTATGCTCTTAAACCCTGTATTCTAGACCAAAACAGATCTTTCAATATCTTGTATAATTAAATGCTTTTAAATGGTATAAGTGAAATGATGTTGAGTGGCCACCTGGTAGAAAATAAGAATCTAACTAAGGAATTACCAAAAGATAACAATAAATATATAGGCCTTTGAAAAATTTCCTTCTGTCTACCAAATAATGCTAAGAGAACTACTGAAGAGTTTAGAATGTAAGAGAAAGACTTGGAGAAGTCATCTCTACAATAAAGTCTATAACTCAAATAAGCAGGTCCATTTCCTCTTAATATGTAGTTGTAGCGAAAGATGGATAATCAAAAGGGATTTTAATTTGTTGCCTTTCATTTGGATACTTGTACTACTAAATGGTTTTTGCCTGGGGCATTTAAGTATTTTTGCTCAATCTGAGTCCTTGTTTCTTAATTTCCAACTCCTGTTAAATGCCTCTACAAGTGGTGGAAATATGGGAGTCTAGTTCTGGAATCCATCAATGGCTTCCTTGTCCTAGCATATAGTCCGAGATACCTTTCTATCTTTAATATAGGTAAGAATTTTAAATGTCTTTAAAATGTATAAATGGAGGGAAGGAAGGCTGTCAAGATACTGGGATTTTTTATTTATTCCTTGGGTATTTTTTATTGAAATATATTGATTTACAGTGTTTCCTGTATAGATGTACAACAAAGAGATTCAGTTATACATGCATATAGATCTATTTTTTTAGATTCTTTTCCTTTATAGGTTATTACGAAATATTGAGTGTAGTTCCCTGTGCTATACAGTAGGTCCTTATTGGTTGTCTGTTTTATATACAACATGTGTATCTGTTAATCCCAAACTTCTAATTTGTCCCTCCTTTACCCCCTTTCCTCTTTGGTAATGTAAGTTCATTTCCTGTGTCTGTGAATCTGTTTGTTTGGTAAATAAGTTCATTTGTATCATATTTTAGATTCCACATATAAGTGATAGCATACCGGTATTTGTCTTTATCTGACTTATTTCACTTAGTATGTTAATCTTTAGGTCCGTCCATGTTGCAGCAAATAGTTATTTTATTCTTTTCATGGCTGAGTAGTATTCCATTGTGTATATATAGCACATTCATCTGTTGATGGACATTTAGGTTGCTTCCACATCTTGGCTATGGTAAATAGTGCTTCTGTGAACATTGCAGCATATGTATCTTTTCGAATTGTTGTTTTCTCCAGATATATACCCAGGAGAGGGTTTGCAAGATCATATGGTAGCTCTATTTTTAGTATTTTAAGGAACTTCCATTCTATTCTCCATAGTAGCTGTACCAACTTACATTCCCACCAACAGAGTAGGAGGGTTCCATTTTCTCTACGCCCTCTCTACCATTTATTATTTGTACACTTTTTAATGATGGCCATTCTGACCCATGTGAGGTGTAGTTTTGATTTGCATTTCTTTTATAATTAGCAATGTTGAGCATCTTCTTATGTGCCTTTTGGCCATCTGTATGTCTTCTTTGTAGAAATGCTTTTTTAGACTTTCTGCCCATTTTTTGATTGGGTGTGTATGTATATATATTGAGCTGTATGAGCTCTTTTTGTCTTTTTTTTTTTTTTGATGTCCCTATCCTATGTTCCTAATTCTATGAATTAAGAACTAAAGTACAAATGAGAGGGGGGAAAAAATCCTTCTGTCTTCCCCTAGAAAATTCATGCTTGGAAATTTTGACTTAGAACTATAGTCAACTTGCTATTGACTTCTTGAGAAACGGTTAATTTGATTTTTTTTTTCCCTAGCTGTTTTTCTTTATTGTCAAATATCAGAGCATTGTTGTAACTTTAAAAATCATATTGTATTTTAAAAGCATAATGATGTGGCATGTAATCTTTCTTGTCCCTGGGTTAATTTTGTAAATCCAAAGGTGATAAGAATTTAACTCCAGACCAGTACTTTATCTTTAAGAGAATTTCCTTAAAGTACATTCTAAGAAGTTCTCTAGTTAAAAGTTGGGAGGAAAAGGCCCAAAATAACAAAACATACCATTGATAGACTGAATCTGAACAGGAGGCACTGTCTTTAAAACTTTAAAGAGAAAGGATTAGGGCTTAAAGTCCATGAACAAAATTCCAGCCACATATCAGAACAAGGGGCTAGGAAGGGACTCCCTGAGTTCAGGAGATAGAGACAAGAGTCTGGAAGATCAAGGCAACTGAAGTTTTCAGGACAGAGGCCAGAGAGGACAGAAGACCACAGAGAGGGGATGCTGGAGATCTGTGTAGGATCCCCCTCAAGTTCCAAATAAGTCTTAAAAGCAAGACCCAAAGGGATCAAACTGCTACCAAGTAGTTTAACTATGTCCTAGAACAGAGCTCATGAATATTTATAGCAATGCACAAGTATCCACCCCCAGCAAGGCAGAATTCACACTGTCTGACATCTAATCAAGAATTACTAGGCATACAAATAGGCAGGACAGTGTGATCCAGTACAAGGGGAAAACCATTATCCAATGGAAACCAACCCACAACTGACAAAGGTGTGAGAATTAGCAGATACAGCAGTTATTATAACTAAATTTCAGGTGTTCAAAAGTTAACTACAGACATGGAAAATATTTTTTAAAAAGAGATTCGAATCAAACTTCTAGATGAAAGACACATTTATGTATGAAATATTTCATGATTAAAAACAAAGGCAAAAATGATAAAGCTTATGACTTTCTCCTCTACCTAATGAATTTCTCGTGACCATCTTCTCTCACAAATTGAAGCCAGCCGTTTCCTGGCATTTTTCCCCATACTAATCTGAAACTGAATTCAACTAAATATAAATTAGCCTTACTCTCACCTCCTTCAGTCTTTCCTTAACCTGGACCCGTTATTTCTGCCTCTGCAAGAACTCGCCCACACATTTCACATTTTCTAAAACATTGGAAGGCAGTCTTTTAATGAAGTATATTCTGAGGTGTGACATTTACAATATTTAACAACCAGCATGGCTCAGAGACCATTCAGCACAGACGCCCTTCAGAAACACCTGATCCAGCCATACCAGCAAGTCCTGGCTACATTCCACAGACCAGAAATTACAATAAAGAAGAAAAGAGGGGGCCTGAAGTGAAGTATGTTTAGGAGTCACTGATGAAGTTAAATAGGTTCTTTACTGCAGTACTTCCCAGAGCTTTTATTAATAATATGCTTTGTTCATTTTAAATACAGGCAATTAAAAAATTGTTACACACACACAGGTATGTATGTGCTAAGTCACTTCAGTCGTGTCCGACTCTTTCGTGACCCCATGGACTGTAGCCCACCAGGCTCCTCTGTCCATGGGATTCTACAGGCAAGAATATTGGAGTGGGCTGCCATTTCTTCCTCCAACAATTATGTATATTATAAGCCATATTCAGAAAGACATTCAGGAAATGAGTAATTCTGTTTGTCTCTGGAGAGGGGAGATGGGGTACCAGGAGAAAGAAGTATGGGAGGGAGATTTATTTATTTTTCATTATAAACCTTTTGCAACAAATACATGTATTACTTACCTAAATTTTTTTCATTTAAATAATAAAGCATGCTACTTTTTAGGTATATTACAGAAGGCCCTAAATTCATGGTTATTTTCCTTTCCTGTTTAGAAAAGTAGAAAAGAACTGAAGAGCTTTCTAAGCAAATGGTTTCTCTCCTGGCATTGAATATGTTGAAATAAACCCAAATAAAACCTCCTAGAAAACTACTGTTTCGTGGGATCCCATTGTGAAGGTCCCATGACGCTGAGGTGAGGTTTCTTTGTCTGCGGGGTTTGTACCAGTGGTTTCCCAGGCCAGTTTGCTTTGCAGAGGTGATGAAAGTGGCTGACTTGACTTTTGGTTTGTATCTCACGCTCAGCAGTGACTACCTGCTGGTGATGAGCTTTTCTGCCCACTAGTAAACAGATGGCCTCACGTTGGCTGCCCTAACTACAGAGGCACCAGAAACTCTGCAATATTAAGCTGTCAAAGGACCCATCTGCCCTAAGCAGCTGTCCAGGCATTTGCCTGTCTGGATGCTGGAAACCTCAGTATAACCCCAGTCTTAAGCACAGAACCTTCTCATTTTCCCCGTTCTATTTCTGTGGATGCAAGCCAGGAGTCAGTGCCACCTGCTGCTTGTTTTTCGTAAGCAGTCTCTTTAGTATCTGCATGTGGGGTCTTTAGTTGTGGCACAGAAACTCTTAGTTGCGGGAT